TCTTGAAATTTGATTGGTCAATCATCTAAAATGCGATATATAAGCACATCGCAGGTTGCGATGCCTAATTAAGTCCTAAGATATATAACCAAATCTATTACATAACTAACGTATATATATAGCTGATACAATTATAATAAGAATGTATTAATATCTCATAATGCAACTTTCTCATCCGGTCGTAACTAGTAATAATTCCATTCAATAAAGAATGCCAACATACAAGCTTTCAAATGTGCGTCTTCTGTTACCTTTACAACTTTTGACGACAACTACTCGTAAAAGAATATACCAACATCCGAAGCTACTGCAAAAATCTACCTTGCTCAGGTTCTGATGAAAAGTTACAATAGATAGGATGACCGTTCAAATCAGCCTGAATGATCCGTCTTTAATATTCCACAACCTCTTTGATAGCATCATAACATCGTATTGCATCGGGAAGATAGAACTTTCAAAAATTAATGGAAAAGGTGTACTAAAAGAAGAAAATTTTACAATTATTTATAAAAATTCGTTGCAGAAAAGATTGATAATTATAAACTCACTCCCATCCACAGACTCTTTGAATTGGCGCTCATAGTCTCAAAAAACATCTCTCCATTATACTCGTTGATACTTCTGCGCTTCATGAGAAATCATTAATCTACCGGTTTTATTCACAGACTCTGTGACTGTGTCAACATCCCATGACAAAATTGACCTTAAATCAATTAGTTCACATAATAAACTTGGTATATTTTTCTCAGCCATTTGTATAACCTTTTCCAGAATATATATTTGCGACCCATATCGATATCAAACAAATGTAACATCTTTACCGGTTTTTAATATTTCTGCTTTACTTAAAGGCAAATCGTAATCACCAACCGGAACTTGTTATCACTTTTGTACAATTAATAATTGGAGAAAATGATTGTAACACGGGATCCGTTGGGTTCCAGAGCGCCGCTTTGTATTTGCAAACAAATCTAATTATTTGCAAGATATTAGATTTGGCATGTTTTTCTAAGAATGATACGCATTCCACAGCAAACTTTGTGGCGCGAATTCGATCCATTGGCGAAGGTGCACCGCCTTGTTTATATTAAAATTTTGCAAAAAAACTTTTTTGTTAGAACCTCGGAAGTGCGTTTTATAATCAAAATTTTGAAATATCAACATACTTGTGTTCAAATACCCCATGTACAAATAGTAATTCACTTCTAAAATTAAAAAAATTTGGCTAAAAATAAGAATTATTACTAAAGGTTCACAATCTACTTCAAACTGCTAGTAAGTACGTATTCTATATATGTATGATTACGATAGTGATTCTAATGAGGAATGGATTTTTTTGTTTTTTTTAGTGGTAGTGATGTAAATTACGATGAGTAAAATAGTGCAGTTAACTATATAAAATAGTTTTAACTAGTTACATACACTAAGTTCGGCTTGGGCTTTTTTTCGCACCCTAATCGAAAATTAGCTTCAAAAAACGCATTACAGATGTCTTTAACATTGCTCTTACGTAATTGTAAATAACGATAATAATTTATTTTAATCTATATAATTGACTTAAATTTTCGGAACAACTAATCGTTAAATGATTATCTGCTTAAGTTTAAATACGCACTAACAGGTATATTCTCTTACATTCCATTAAAAAATACTTAATCCTGGTTTAGACCAGTAATAGGGGGTCTACTATCAAGGTATTTGTTTTTACAAAAACTCAATTATATCGTGACCCAGTAATCCGAATTGGATAATTTTGATACCATTCGATTCGCCTCGATGAGATAAATCGAATGGTACCAAAAATAATCCAATTCGGATCACTGGATCACAAGATACAGTCGATACTGTCTAATTGCATATACTCTCTAACTGCATAAAAAATTTTGGTTTTTAACTACGTATTAACACAAACATGGTTCTTATAACTTAAAATGCATATACTGTCTATATGCATGAAAAAGTCTCTGACGGATGGCATGCAATTAGACAATATCGACTGTATTAAATCTTTTTTTTGCGAATATCCGATCAAAATCATTCAATTCGGATTACTGGGTCACGATATAATTACGACCAATTACGAGTCGGATAGTCCAATCACTGTATCATTCAACATCTAACGATTCAATATTGATCTTAATAAGTTCTTTTTCTAAGGCTGAACGCATTGCTTGTTATTTTGTGTATATATACTCTTTTTTTTTGTTGTGAATAAAGAAATCATGACGCATACTTTAAAAGATAGACCAGACGTGACTTTTGGTTAGTAACTGCATAAGAAACGCGTTCACATTTTCGCGTTCACTGTGCCAGGAGGAAATTCTTTACTAAGAAGCTCGATAAAAAAACATTTTGTTGTGCTAAAGAAAAAAAAATTTTTTTTTATGCCAATTGAATTATCTAGATAACAAACAAGGAGAGCAAGGATTTTGTTCTTTTATAAGAGGTCTTCCACAGGTGAACTTTAATATTCTATCGAAAATTGCTTATTTTAAATAATGTATATTAATGATATTTGGTGTAGAAACCTGAAAATACCATTCGATTGTTTGAAAGGAGTGCTGGGGTTGGTTAATGGCTCTTCATAATTTATGATAAAGAATCTTCATAATGCTTATTGACACGCGTGCTTCATCATAATATTAAGGAATATTACAGCATCCATGGAGACGATGCATTATACATTGCACAAAATGTTTATAAAACAACTTCCGTTATTAAATATTTGGGTGGTATGCATTTGCATTTGTTCGCAATCAGATATGACTTTTTTTTTTTTTCTACAGACGTGTTGAATCATTTTAAATAGGAAATTTTAAGACCGGGGTCCCTAGTTGTGCATTGTCTCGTCAGAATTTAGAAACATTCTTGCGTGATGCCCTAATGAATAAACAAATGAAGGTCGAAATATGGGCTCAAGAACAAAAAAAAGCAAATTCTTGGAAAATAATTCAACAAGTAATTGTTATTTGGCATGGTTTATTCTTGAATGTCTCATATATCATGCATTATTCATATCATAAATTACTCTAGGCGTCTCCCGGAAACATACAGGATCTCGAAGATTTTCTATTTTCAAATGTTGAGATCACTACATCGCCTATGGTGCTCAGCGTTAAATTGCAGAATTCAGGTGATCAGAAAATTGTTGGAGTAGCTTTTGCAGATACTACCATTCGAGAATTGGGTGTATCAGAATTTATTGACAACGAGCTATTCTCAAATTTTGAGGTATATATTATAAATCGTTATGCCATATATGATTTATATATTAGCATTGTTGACAAATGAAAATTTCAGTCCTTATTGATACAACTCGGCGTGAAGGAATGTATAATTCAGTCAGATGAAGTTCACAAAGATTATGACCTTGCAAAATTACGAGAGGTGATCGATAAATGTGATATTGTTATTACTGAACTCAAGAAAAGTAATTTTTATGTTTAAAATACATATTAAATATTTCATATCGAGATTTTTTCTGATTATTTTACACTTTTTTGACAGGTTATTTCAATACTAAGGACATTGAACAGGATCTAAATCGTTTACTGGGAGATGAAATATCTGTGGCTTCTCTGCGTAAGTATTAATATATAAAATATGAAGTTTCAATGTTATTTATGTATATATGTTTTTTAATGCACACTACAGCCGAATTTGAAATGAAACATGCGATGGCTGCTTGTGCAAGTATAATTAAATATTTGTCGGTAAGTTGTCTTATTTAACTATAAAATAGAATTTCTATAATATTTTGACTATGTATTCCTATCTTTTGGATCCAAAGCTTTTGACGGATACAAGCAATTTCGGATATTATATTTTACGACATCATGATTTATCGCAATATATGAAATTGGATGCATCTGCGTTGAGAGCGTTAAATTTGATGCCGAGTCAACATGATGGTATGGATTTATTGTCATAAATGTTTTATATGTATTAATTATGATAGAATGTCAATGGTTTTGTAGGTCCCAACAAGAATGCAAGTTTATACGGTCTTTTAAATAAGTGCAAAACTTCTCAAGGATCAAGAATGTTAAGCCAATGGCTCAAACAGCCACTAATGAACATAAAAGAAATTGGTACGGTAATTTCATTTATCAATTTTCTAACTCGTAATCGGATTCACTATAATTTCCATATTTTTAGAGCAAAGACAAACTTTTGTTGAAATATTTGTGAGCGACACGGAACTCCGACAATCTTTAAGAGTATATTCAAAAGATATTTTGTAATCTTGTATAATAAATATTAAACATCGTATAATTAAGCATGTCTCTTTACCTAATACTATCGGTTTCAGGAAGAGCACCTTAATAACTTACCTGACCTTCACCGTATAGCTAAACGTTTTCAACGAGGAAAAGCTACGTTGCAGGTTAGCGATATTTCGTGCTTTTTGATAAACTTTTATGTTATATTTGCTATAAGTGATTCCGGACTGTTCATCCATAATGTGGTCCGTACTTAATCATATATATGTATAGGATGTTATACGTGTATATCAGGCGATTAACAAATTACCTGGGCTTATAAGCGCTTTTGAATCATTTAATTCAATGGAAGACACGCTAAGAGATCTTATAGAAGAAATATTTCTTATTAAGCTAAGGGTAAATTCATTTGATATTTAAAAGATTATATTGTCAGGTGGTTGGTTATCTATATTAACGTGTTATGATTAGGAACACAATGACCAACTCGAAAAGTTTAAGGAGTTGGTTGAAACAACGGTTGACTTTGAAGCAGCAGAGCATCACCATTATGTGCTCAAGGCTGATTTTAACGATGATCTAAAAGGCTAGTTGTATAAATAATAATACTTTTGGTTCATTGTCCTATTTTTAATTATTTTAATAAATTCAATATATAGTAATCAAGGAAAGGCTTGATGAGACGATGAGTGCAATGAATCAAGAACATCAATTGGTAGGTTTTATATTATTTTAACTGATGTTGACATTCAAAAAATATTAAGTCATACTGAAGTTTATTATAATTGAAGGTTGGAAGAAGACTCAATATTGATACAGAAAAGAAACTTCATCTTGAAAAGCAAGCAACATACGGATATTGTTTGCGAATGTCCAGACTTGTATTTTCGTTACTATTTTATTCTGATGCACATTTATTCATCCAATTGGATGAAATTTTAATCTATTTTATTTTATTGAAATAAAGGAAGCTAATTGCCTTCGTGGACAATCGGAATACATTGAACTTGCAACGCAACGAACTGGTGTATTTTTTACGACACAAAAGCTGAAAAAATTAAGTTCTAATTTTTTTAGCGAAACGGAGCACTATGAAGACGTACAAAGCTCTCTTGTAAGAGAGGTTATCAACATTTCTGGTAAATAATGATTATTATGGTTATTTGATACTTTATTGCATGACGCGTTTGTTTATGTCCAATTTAAATTAAATTCTTAGCCTCTTATTGCCCGGCATTGGAAACACTAAATGTATTATTGGCGCATATTGATGTCTTGGTTACGTAAGTTTTTGACATTAAAAGGTTTTAGATATTGGTGCCATTTTACATAAATTGATAGTACACATTTTCAATTAGTTTTGCAGATGTTTCCGTACGTGCACCTATACCTTACATTCGCCCAAAAATGAGCGATAAAGGTCAGTTTTAATTAAATCAGCGATATACCGTAAGTTATAGATTCTTTTGCTAACTACGCTTTCATGAATATTCTGTAAAAGGTGAAGGCCATGTTGTTTTAAAAAATGCGCGCCATCCTTGCCTAGAAATTCAAGATGGTGTTTCGTTTATTCCAAATGATGTCGAATTAATTCGAGGTTAGAATAGCATTGTTATATGATTTTTTTGTGACTTGTGAGTTATAAAGCAAAATTTTTATTGATAGATCAAAGTGAATTGCACATTATCACGGGCCCAAACATGGGTGGCAAATCGACATATATTCGACAAGTATGTATATATATATAAAGTTTTTTTTTTTTTTTTTTTTTTTTTTTTTTTTAACAATGATTATCCTTTTATTACTAACATTTATATACTATAGATCGGTGTTATTGCTTTGATGGCGCAAGTTGGATGCTTTGTTCCATGCGCGGAAGCAAGTTTGTGCATATTCGACTGTATACTTGCCAGAGTGGGTGCTGGAGACAGCCAGCTCAGAGGTGTATCTACATTTATGTTGGAAATGTTGGAAACTGCTACAATTCTGAAGGTATTTTTGAATCTTTCAAATTTGTTTCGTTATGTCATTACACTCATGGAATTTAAAATCTTTCTCACTGTTAGACTGCGACAAAAAATTCTTTGATTATTATTGATGAGCTTGGACGGGGAACAAGCACTTATGATGGATTTGGACTCGCTTGGGCCATATCAGAGTTGGATATTTTTATTGATTTATTTATTTATTGAATACAACCTTGTATTAATAGCGGTGTCGTTTAAATGAATTCTAGGTACATCTCGACACAGATACGCTGTTTTTGCTTGTTCGCAACACATTTTCACGAATTAACTGCGCTAAGTGATGAAGTTCCACATGTGCGTAACCTTCATGTTACGGCGCACATTGACCAGAAGGCTTGTGGAACCCGTGACATTACACTGTTATACAGAGTTACCGAAGGTAACAAATGATAGTATAAAATGGATTGTAATTTTATTCACTAAGGTTTTCAAATATATTTGAAATAGGTGTCTGTGACGAGAGCTTTGGTATTCATGTTGCTGAATTGGCCAATTTTCCAGAAATTGCTGTTAAAGTATGTCTTTCATTCCTTTTTGTTTTTTTTTTAAAAAAATCTTGCATTTTTACTTATGTTCCTTTATTTTATAGCTTGCAAGAAGGAAGGCAAATGAATTAGAAGTTTTCATGCAACGTAAATCTCGGTGATTCGTAATTATTGTTATAATTGTATAAATGTATGCTGGTGTATTAATTCCATTTTCATCGTTAGATGAACAAGATCACAACGCGAAAGACAAATATTCAAAACAGGAAATTGAGGTACTTCGCTTGCAGTTGAATTTATTGGTCTTCATGTTCGTAATTCATATACTATTCTAACGATTTTTAGGAAGGAGGCACAATCATTAAGGAATTTCTTAAAGATATTTCCCAGATTCCTAATATTGAATCTATGAATTACAGTTCAATGCTAGATCGAATTCAGGAAGTGAAAAGCAAATATCAAGAAAAAATTGAAGGGAATCCATGGTGCTGCGATGTTATAACCGGATTTTAAAATGTTTATGGTTATAATTAATGTATAATAATAATCTGCGTAACCTTCATAGTTAATGAGATTTTTGTGTAGGCATTCAATCCGTAATACTATATTAATCCCATAATTCTCTTTGCGAACACTTTATACATTCTAGAGTTGTTAAAAAGTTCAATAAAGCGGTCTTTGAGTCAACTCAGCGTAGACACGTTTAGTCCGATCCATAACAAATTATGAGTATAGTTCTAAAGACTGCATGAATAATACTTTTAATATGTATTTGTTTGAACTTTTTAAGGACCAAGTGGGATCCGTCTATTTAACATTTCTAGTCATTACGCATGAACCAAACTTCAGATCGACTTCTGAAGAGGACTTTTAACATCCATTATACAGTCTAACCTTAAATCAATTATTCAAAGTTCAATGTGAGAGTTCTATGTTGAAAATATTTTTCAGATGGCATTTTAGAACATCTAAATTCTAACGTGCATACACAGATTGTCGCGTTATATTATCGTATACTAATAATCTTAGATTAACATTATAAACGGAATAATCTCATAATAAAATGTTTCGTTATTTAGTTTGATTTAACAATATCGAAACTAAATAATTATATACTTTATTTAACAACTTTATTAAATAATTTTATTAATAATTTTTATTAGACAATTTTATTAAACTTTATTAATAAAATTTATTATTATACATAAATCAAATATAATTCAAAAGTTATTTAACCTAGTATAAAAAACAGAAAGTGCTTACGTACGTACGTAGTACTTCGTTTAAATGCTTATAGTATTCCTACGTATTAAGTATTATTACCATTTATTACCATTTACTGTCACAGATCATGACATCGGATTAAAATTAAATGAGGAGTTTCTATTTGACCCCCCAAACCCACTTATACTTGCTTTATTATAAAACCTGCTTCTAAACCCTAATCCTAACTCTAATAAAATGCTAAAAAAAATGCTCCCTGTATTTTTCGGTGGCTTATGAGTGCCCTTATGTTAAGGAAATCCCGAGCTGCAGATCACTGAAGATCACTTCTGGTCCGTCTCCGTGATTAGAACCGTCAGTAAATTGACGTTCTACATAAATCAAATAAATATTATACAAACGTTTGTAGCCTAGAACCAATATTATAAAATTTTTGTATCATATAAAAATTAGCCAATCAAATTTTGGCAAAATATAAATTTTTTAAAAAAATCTATATTAATAGTCAAAATTTTAAAATATATAAAAATATGACAAAAATCAGATGATTTTTTAGGAAGGAGAGTTAAAAAAATCTGATTTTTTATATATTAAAAAGAGAAAAGAGAGGTAATCTTTTGATAAAAAGTAATCAGATAATAAATAATATTGCTTTAAAAAATATTTTAGCTAATAATTTCAATTTTACTAAAATAAAAAAAAAATTTTTTTGTAATAAACTTTAAATAATTAATTTATAAAGAAAAAATTTTTATGTATATAATATATAATATTAATATTATTAGTTATAATTTTTTTATTTTATATAGTTATAAAAGATCACATAATATTGATTCTAGATTACATGTACTATATTAATATTTATATTAATATTTATACAAATGTTGATATTTATATTCATACTAATATTCATACTTAAATGGGGCTATTGCAGTAGAAAAGACCGAAACTCAAAAATATATAATTTTGAGAAAATCATGTTTGTTTTGTTCAGACTACTGTAATTTGGGTTAATCAAAAATTCTGTGATTTGATTAGTTAGCTATATCAGATAATCTTATAATATATAAATATTTTAAAATTTTTTTTATATATATTTTAATTTTTTATTAAACAAATCAATTTCTCTTTATGATCAAAAAATATACCATATATATCCAAAAATAAGCTACCATTTTTGGCTAAAAAGGTACACAAAAATTTTGCAGATAGCTTATTGGATAAAAGTGTGTTTTGTGAATTGCGAAAAATTTTATTAAGTAAATCAATTATGCTTATTAAATAAAGTTGTTCAGGAGGTTAAAATACATATATTCTGAAAGTTTCATATAAATCAGATAATTTTTTATTAATTGACTTTTGATTTTTATGTTCAATATATATGAATTTTAAAGAAATATTAAAAAAATTTTAAAAAATTCGTCGAATGTAATATGCAAAAACGTATTAATATAAAGTTATCCAATTTGGATAAAATTTTCAAAATATATGTATTTTGATCTTCTAAACAACTTTCTCTTAATAAGCTATATCGATTTATTTAGTAAAATTTTGACTTTACTATAAAGTAACTATTGATAATCATTAAGTAGTTTATTTTCGAGTATAAGATATTTTTATATTTTTCTTCCAAAAAAGAAAAGTAGCTTATTATTAGATATAGCTTATTTTTAGAAATATATAGTAACCTATCTTGAAATTTATTTGAATCTTACAAAAATTCAATTTTGATTTCTGGAAAGTTTGGACTCTTTTTACAGAAACAGTCTCATATTTGTATTAATATTTGTATTTATATTTGTATTTACATTTGTACTTATATTTGTACTAATATTTATACTAATGTTTATACTTCAGGTGAGATTATCCCAAATTAGAAAATAATTATCTGAGTCATCCGAATATTACACTATTTTTTTTTATACGTTTTACAATACTTTTATTAAAAAACTCAAGCTAATCAAATTTGCGATTTTTAGAAAGATATGTTTTACAATACTTTTTTAGGAGTTTTGGGTAATCTATCTCTTTTATTAAATGCAACTGAATATACTAAGCAAACTTGAAGCTCTTGTACTATATTTTAACAAAATTGGTAAATTCAAGTGGATTCAGTTGATCTTATATTTTTAAATATAAAGAATTTATGAAATATAGAACTACTAAATTGTATAGATTTTATTCGTTAACACAACCTTTTATGAAACATGGATAAGTTTACTAAACAAACATGAAGTCTTCGTCTTAAGTATAGAAAGAAGTAATTCATTTGTATATTTTTTTTAGAGAATTGCTATTTGTATCATGTTTTTTGCTATTTGCACCATCGATTTAACTGGAATTATATCCTAACTCTGGTTAAACTAATGATGCAAATAGCAAAAATCATGGTGCAAATAGCGATAGCCTTTTTTTATTATATATATATTGCATAAATTAAAAGTATACGAAGAATAATAACTAACTATGCAATTTCATATTATTATTCTTAAAAAAACTTTTAAAACATAATAAGAAATTTATATATATGCATAATGTATTAGAATAATAGTTGTGTAATATAAAATAGTATAGTATAAGATATTAAAGATATAGAATTAAACATAGAATATATAGAATTAAATATAGAAGTTGATATAGAATTAAACATAGATTAAAATATATAAATTAATGAAATCTTGTAAATAAATACTATTAAAATAAACATGAATATACAAATCAACTCTTCCTGATAATCACTTGTACCAACCAGTCTCTGAAAGCAAGTTGAAGACTCAAGACCAGAAAAGACCAAATAACTTGAAGTTTTCTTAATACGAATTGTTGTCAATGAAGTCTCAAATGTGATACACCGAGGAGTGAATATTTTGGATAATTTGCAAAGGGTCAAGCTTTTTCTGCTTTCTCTTAAGTGGACTCCTCTTTGCATTCAGCATCCAAACTGGAGAAGTTTCTGGAACAGTAAGTAGAAGGAAGACTTAAGTTAGTTTAGAAACTGAAGGCTATAAAAAACTCTTGGAACAATACTCCTTGGTTAGAAAACTCGCAAAACTATATTTTTTCTCTGCCATTCTCTTTTTCATAATTTTCAACAAAAAGTGGAGGATTTGGCTACCCTTCTCCAAAAGATTAGTATTGTTTATACTTCCATTTTCAAAAAATCTTGAGTTATGATATGACGAATTAGAAATACAACAATCATGTGTAAAGAGGAAGTTCTGTTTAGATAAAATTAAAGTATACAGAAAGTCCTGTGTTTAGATCGGCATTAACTGTACAGAAATAAATACTTTATATGACAGACCTGAGAAAGTAGCTTCCAATAATGCCAGTTGACTATAGGGAAGACTCCTGTTTAATCTTGTATAACGAAGAAGCAAGGTTTGAAATAAGACTGTAAGAGGATTTTAGAAAAATTAGTCTGGTATAAACTAAAACTAACGATCACGTATCAAGGCTTTAAAATCAGCATTCTGGAATTTGAAGTAGATTTTATAAGAGTTGTAAACTGGAGCGATATAACAGAGATATGCAATATTCTAAAGTCATATGTATATAATTTTTAGCCCTTAGCACAGGTTAAAGTACATTTTAGTTCATAGTTTCTTTTTGTTAGATAGCTCTATGTATAGATTTTTATAACCATGTAGATAGTTTTTTATCTAGTTAGCAGGTTTTTATATTTGTAGACAAGTTCTTTTAGATTTTAAAATAGTTTTTAGATTCCTTTATAGTTTGGTCATTTTCTTTTCTGTTTGTTTTTTTACTCTCCCTATTTTTGTTTTGCTCTTACACTTTTTTTTTCTTTTTTACTTTTCTACGAAAAAGTATCATCAAATTGGCGACACTCTATTGTAAAGCAGTGATTCTGACAAGGTCAGTGCTTCTATCTGTTGATATCCAGGGCTCATATCCTTAG